CAAGATTGAGTCCCTGCCTTGCAACAGCCCCCAGTGTACTCTAGTGCCCCTCCTGCAATGCCAAACGGCAGCCACTTTTCTTAGCCATCTACTTCTCTGCTCCATAAGGCAGGCTCAGTCACACATCAGGAGGAGGTATCTCATACTACTCAAAACAAGCCACTGGCCAGTTAAGATGAATTAATAAGTCAGTAAAAATAAAACGAGTGGAAGGTCAGTAGAGCCAAATCTTAGGGGTTCCTAGAAGCCACCTCTGCCCCCTGCCAGTGAGCCTGGTCCAGGACTCAAACCACTACCACTCTTTTTTTGTTGTTGCTGCTGCTGGGGATCAAACCCAGGCTCCATCACTGGGCTATATCCTCAGCCCTTTAAAAAAATGAAAATTTTGAGACAGGGTATTCACAAGTCATTCAAGCTAGCCTTGAACTTACTCTGTGGCCCAAGCAGACCTTGACCTTACAACCCTCCTGCCTCAGCCTCCTTAGTAGTTTGACTGTAGGACTGCACCATCAGGCCCATTGAATGCCATGCTCAGACAAACCCTTCATTCTCTCTTACCCCCTACCCCAGACCTTGATGGAAATCTGACCACACTGATGTGTGCTGCTCTACAAATGACATATAAAGGCTATGTATGTGAAAACAGCCAGTCACAAAGGACCACATGTTACATAATTTCATTTCTTTTTTTCAGGGGAGGTCTCGAGTCAGGGTTTCCCTGTGGCTTTGGAGACTGTTCTGGAAATAGCTCTTGTAGATCAAGCTGGCCTCTGAACTCACAGAGATCTGCCTGCCTCTACCTCCCGAGTGCTGGGATTAAAGGTGTGCACCACCACCGCCCAGCAATTCCATTTCTTTTTCTTTCTTTTTTTCTTTTTTCTTTGTGTGTGTGTGTGTGTGTGTGTGTGTGTGTGTGTGTGTGTGTGTGTGTAGACAAGATTTCTCTGTGTGTAGCCCTGACTGTCCTGGAACTTGCTCTGTAGACCAATTTGGTCTAGAACTCAGATCTGGCTGTCTCTGCCTCCTGAGTGCTAGGATTAAAGGCATGGGCCACCACCACCCAGCTATATATAATTCCATTTCTAAAGTGCCTGGAACAGGCAATTCTGGACATAGGAAAACTGATGTCATGCAAGGCTGGGAGGGATCAAGGACACAAGTAACACATAAACACAGAATTTCCCTTTTAAGACAAGAAAAGTGTTCTAAAATCAACTAGTGTTAAGATGTAACCTGTTGAGTGCAGTAAAAACCTTGGAATGACCACGCAACCTCAAAGAGGATGGAATCCTGCCGTTTGCAACAGCTTGGGTGGAAGCACAAGGCAGGCACAGAAAGGCTGTGTTCTTTCTTGTTCCCACTCAGTCTAACCCACTCAGTCTTGTTCTCACTCAGTTGATCTAAAGCTAGATATGATGTCTTCTGCCTAAGAATCTCAGCACTAGGGAGGCTGATGCAGGAGGATGTCCACACCTTCAAGACCTAAGTCACAGGGTCTCAAGGCAAACAGTGGCAGGGGTTTGTGTGTATAATCCCAGCTAGGGCAACCTTGGTGTTGGTGTTATTCCATAGGTGCCATCTGCTCTCTCTCTCTCTCTCTCTGTGTGTGTGTGTGTGTGTGTGTGTGTGTGTGTGTGTGTGTGTGTGTCTGTGTCTGTGTCTGTGTCTGTGTGTTTCTGTTTGTGTCTGTCTGGGTATTGAACACAAGGCCTTAGGCAAACTGAGATACATCCCCAGACATCTTGCTTTTTGAGACAAGATCTCTCCCTGCTAGGAGTTCACCAAGTAGCCTAGGCTATCTGCAAGTCCCAGGGATCCACCTTTGTCCACTTCCCCAGAACAGGAATTACAGATGTGCAATGCCCAGCTTTTTTTTTTTTCCGGTTTTTCCAGACAGAGTTTTTCTGTGGCTTTTGGGGGCTGTCCTGGAACTAGCTCTTGTAGACCAGGCTGGTCTCAAACTCACAGAGATCCACCTGCCTCTGCCTCCTGAGTGCTGGGATTAAAGGCGTGCGCCACCAACGCCCGGCGATGCCCAGCTTTTTTATGTGAATTATGGGTTTGCACTCGGGTCCTCATCTTGCAAGGAAAGCACTTTACACATTAAGTTTTCTCCCCAGCCCAATGCACTATACATTTTAAATAATTTATTTAGTATAGGCATTGGTATTTTGCCTTCATGTATATCTTAGTGAGGGTGTCAGGTACCCTAGAACTGAAGTTGCAGACAGTTGTGAGCTGTCTCATATTCATATATCATATAACTCACCCACCTAAAGTGCATGGTTTAATGAGTTGTTCCTCCCTCCCCCATCTCATATGTAGCCCTGGATATCCAGGAACTTGCTGTATAGATCAGGTTAGGCTTGAACTCAGAGATATGCTTGCCTCTGCCTCCCAGCTTAAAAAAACAAAAAACAAAAAACAAACAAAAACTAGCCAGATGTAGTGGTACACACTTCTAAACGAAGCACTCAGGAAGCAGAGTCAGTAGGATCTCTGTGAGTTCAAGACCAGCTTGGTTCACATAGTGAGTTCTAACATAGCTAGAATTACATAGAGAAATACCGTCTTAACAAACAAACAAAATACAAAATCGATACATCGATGGAATGCCATGTACTGTTTCAATATATTATATACAGTGTAATATTTAAATCAGGTTAAACATAGATATCTCCTTAGCCATTGATTATTTCCTTATTGTGGAAACTTTCAAAACACTTTCTTCTAGTTTTTAAAAATGTATAAACTGAGCCAGGCGTTGCTGGCGCATGTCTTTAATCCCAGCACTCAGGAGGCAGAGGCAGGCGGATCTCTGTAAATTCAAGGCCAGCCTGGTCTATAAAGTTACACAGAGAAACCTTGTCTCAGCCAGGATTACACAGAGAAATCCTGTCTCAAAAATAAAACAAAACAAAAAACCCCCAAACCAAACCAACAAACAAAAAATGTATTGTGTGGGGCTGGAGAGATGGCTCAGTGGTTAAGAGCACCGACTGCTCTTCCAGAGATCCTGAGTTCAATTCCCAGCAACCACATGGTGGCTCACAACCATCTGTAGTGAGATCTGGTGCCCTCTTCTGGTGTGCAGATATACATGGAAGCAGAATGTTGTATACATAATAAATAAATAAAATCTTTTTTAAAAAGTCCCAATAAATAAATAAGTAAATAAATAAATAAATAAATAAATAAATAAAGCCCACAGTGGCTTCTCATCCCTCAGAAGGGAGACTCTCTGCTACAGTTAGTCCCTATAACCGCAGAACACACTTATGGTGGGCGGGGCTCTGTTCTTAAGCACTGAGGACTCACCTCAGCCTCTCCTGGCTCTTTAACGCAGGCATTATGCTTCTGCCCACTTAGCATCTGGGTAAACTGATGGGAGGTTGAGTAACTTGCCCAAGATGACTTAATTCCCTCATGTTTGTGTCTATCCTGGGCACTTGTTGCAGTGTGTCAGCAGGACCTGTTAAGAAGCTTCTCTGCCTGGAGTGCAGCCCCAGGGACTCAATCCTAGTGTCTGGTTTAGAGCTGTAGCCCTTCCTCCTGGCACATCAGACCCGACTCAAATACAGAGAAAGAAAAAGTGCCAGAAATAGGTCCAGTGGTCTCACAGTCTTCAATCCAGCTTCTTTTGGGCAAGGACGATTCACTCTGCCCCCAATTCTCAGAAGACAATTCTAGAATCTGTTTTCTCCTGAGCTCTAATATGATTTCCCTCCTGTCTCACTTCCTGGGACCTTTCTCTGTAACCAAGAAGTTGCCTCTGCCCAGAACCATTAGCCCCTCCCTGGAGCTTGGCGTGGTCCCTGAATGCATTAGGCAGCACAGGAAGTTTAGATAGGCCTTGCTCAGGACTCTGCCTGACTCTGTCTCTTGAATTAAGCCTCTTATACTTGAGATGCTGTCACTGTCCCCATGGCCTGTCAGGTGGTCCTGGATCATATGGGAACCTAACGGAGGGGACAGAGATGTTTGAAGAAGAGTAGGAGGAGTGACCCCAATTCCTAATGGCTTGATAATCAATGACTCAGCAGTAGTGTCACTCCAAAGGAGACTGTCACCCCACCCAGGTCTCTGGCTCTAACTGGCCTGTTGTCTCTCCCTGCCCTAACCTCATTCTGAAAGTCTCTGTACTTTACAGCCCTATCTGTCAGCACACATTCTCTGTGATATCTTCTGGAAGTAGCCATCCTACCCAATGACTTGGTTTGAGGACAATCTAAGACAAATTATTCAGAGTCCTGCAGAAGTGAAGACTAGCGCTCTCTCTCTCTCTCTCTCTCTCTCTCTCTCTCTCCTCTCTCTCACACACACACACACACACACACACACACACACACACCTTGGCAAGGCTGGCCACACCTTCTGACTTGTGCCCAGACCTCCAGCAAAAGCCAGATGGTGAAATCCAGAAAATCAGAGCCTCGAGAACTCCATTGTACCCTAACCTCTAGCACCCTGACAACTCCCTCCCTACCCATGGGCCCCAAGGAAAGCCAGGCCCCAGGGGCTCCTAGTGCAACAAGGCCACTGTGACTTGGAAACGGAGGCTGGAATAATACCCTGGTGGCCCTGGAGGCTTGCCTGTCTTTGGGGCATTCAGAACCCTTGGCCCTCTTCTGGCTTCATTCTCTGTTGATACAGAATTCCACTCAGACAGCCCCCACACACACACACAAAAAAAAGCAATCAAGAGCCCCCCCCAAGTTGGCTTTCACTCCTGCAAAATTTCACTTCAGATACACCCCTGAATCCTTCTGCCGGAAGAGTTAGGAAGTGGCCTACCAGTGATATCTGGAGGCAGACATGAATAAAGAGTAAACAGAAATGAGTCTTGGGTCCCTCTAGAAGGGAAGTCAGGAGATAAGAAAGGGTTTCCCGCCAAGACTCCAACACCTCACTCTTCTCTGCATTTTAAGTCCCTTCCCTGAGGACATGCCTGCCACACTGGGGTGCCCAAACCCATTCCCTGAACAAAACACAGGACTTACCATGATAGAAAAGATGAGGGGTATGAGGTTGAGGGGCCAGACAGGGCAGAAGCAAGAAGCAATGGCAAGGACCAAGTAATCTTTGGGGGCTTCTTGGTCCTGGGCATAGGAGGTGGTCACAACAGAGGATGCCCGCCGAGAGCTGGCCCGGGAAGGGGAGCCAGGGAGAGAGTGCTGGCGGTGGCCCTCGGAGATGACCTTGAAGGGCAGGCTGTGGCCGTTCTGCTCCAGGTCCAGAGCCCCCGACAGAGACTTGGACAGACTCAGGGCTTTGTCATCCTTGTTCTCCACTTTAGTGAGAAGCTTCTCCATCTCAGGCAGCTCCAAGGGTGAGGTGGAGCCTGGGTCTTGAAACTGGGGCTGTACTGGGTTGGCCATGTTGGCTTGGGCCTTGGGTTTCTTCAGGTCCAGGTAGGGACAGCGTGCTCCAAAGGGTCTTCAGCACACCATTCCCAAGCTCAGATTTCAAAACTCCAGGACATGGGTGGATGTGTTTTGCAGAATCTGGGGACCAGCTGGGTGCTGGAAGAGTGTCTCAAGGCTAGCAGAGTTCACAGCTGGAACCTGCTGCTGCTGCTGCTGCTGCTGCTGCTGCTGTCGCCACTGAGAAGCTCCCAGGAAGCTGGAGGCTTCAGCTCCGTTCAAGTTTGAGGCCAACTTTGCTAGAGCTGCTGACTGCACAGATGGGCGGGGAATCAAGAGAAAGTCAGGAAAGCACAGATAGGAGGAATGCTCCTCTTCTCGCCTCTCTCGTGAGACTGAGGATGAGGCAGAGAAGTGTGTGTGTGTGTGTGTGTGTGTGTGTGTGTGTGTGTGTGTGTGTGTGTGTGTGGTGACACAGCCTCCCTCCCTCTCCACCCTCCTTGGAGATGCCTCCGTTTTTCAATTCCCTTCTCCCCAGAGAACCATCCCAGCAGCATCTTGCCTCTGGCCCAGCCCAGCCCGGGAGTCCACAGGGACTTGGGCTAGCCTCTGCTTTCCTCTGCAGTCCCAGCCCTGCTTCTCTGGGCCATGGGCTTAGATGGGGAAAAAGACAGTGATCACCAAAGTGAATGCCTCCTGCTCCTCCTCCACTAAGCAGGCTTGTGCTTCCCATTGTCTCTTGGCAAATGCTGGGCCCTGAGCCCATCATCAACCACTTAGGCCTTCACCCTCAACCCTTATCTGGAGGGAGAGATGTGAGGGCTGTGTGGTCCCTGGAAGACCCAGTATTGCCCTAAGCCTAGGTTTCTAAAAGCTCACCAAGGGTTGACAAAGGGGTCTGTGGGGAAAATGCCTGTCTCATGCCTTCCATGGCGTATGGTGCTGAGCTGTAGGCAGAGACCCTCTTGGGATTTCTCTAACAGACACCAGTTCTGAAAGGGCCAGAGACTGTGTCTGTCTCTCCTCTACTCTCTTTCCTCCTCTGTCTCTGTTTTCTTGATTCTCTTCATCTTGTTCTCCTTCCCTTCCTTGTCTCCTTGTTTTGTTTCATCAGAGTGACCCAAAGCTACCAAGAGTACACAGAGGAAGTATAGCTTGGATAGGGCACATGAAATCATTTAAAACTCCAGGGTCACACATGACGTGGGAAACCAGAGCTGGAAGGACCGCAGAGATCATGAAGTTCAAATCTGCTGCTTTTATAATTCAGAAATAGAAGCACATATAGGAAGAAACACTCATCTCAGTGTCTTCTCAGTCAGATGGCAATCGCTGGCCTATGTCCTGGGG